GGGAAAAAACAACCCCAAAAAATGGGGATTTACTGGGAAAAAACAACCCCAAAAAATGGGGATTTACTGGGAAAAAACAACCCCAAAAATGGGGATTTACTGGGGAAAATGGGGATTTACTGGGGGAAACAAAAAAATAATGGGGATTTACCTGGGAAAATGGGGAAAATGGGGATTTACTGGGGAAAACAGAAGAGGCGGCCTACAGGAATATCAAAAAGGCCATCAAACCCGTGCTCGTGTGAGCGGAAAAATGGGAAAAATTAATGGGAAAATGGGAAAAATGGGGAAATGGGGAAAACGGGAAATGGGGATTTACCGGGGAAAAACAACCCCAAAAATGGGATTTATGGGGAAAAAGAATAAAAAATAATGGGGATTTACTGGGGAAAACAGAAGAGGCGGCCTACAGGAACATCAAAAACGCCATCAAACCCGTGCTCGTGTGAGAGGGGATATCCAGGGAAAAATGGGAAAAATGGGAATATGGGGATTTACTGGGAAAAATGGAAATTATCTGGGAAAAAAACAACAAAAAAAATGGGAATTTCCTGGGGAAAAAAAGGGGATTTACCGGGGAAAATGGGGATTTACCAGGGAAAAATGGCGATTTACCAAAAAAAACGGGGATTTACTGGGAAAAAACAACACCAAAAAATGGGGATTTAGTGGGGAAAATGGGGATTTACTGGGGGAAACAAAAAAATAATGGGGATTTACTGGGGAAATGGTCAAAATGGGGATTTACTGGGAAAAAAAGAATAAAAAATAATGGGGATTTCCTGGGGAAAACAGAAGAGGCGGCATACGGGAACATCAAAAATGCCATCAAACCCGTGCTCGTGTGAGAGGAAAAATGGGGAAAATAAATGGGAAAATGGGGATTTACCAGAAAAACAACCCCAAAAAATGGGGATTTACTGGAAAAAACAACCCCAAAAAATGGGGATTTACTGGGGGAAACCGAAGAGGCGGCCTACAGGAACATCAAAAACGCCATCAAACCCGTGCTCATGTGAGAAAAATGGGAAAAATGGAAATATCCGGGGAAAANGGCCTACAGGAACATCAAAAACGCCATCAAACCCGTGCTCATGTGAGAAAAATGGGAAAAATGGAAATATCCGGGGAAAAACAACCCCCAAAAATGGGGATTTACTGAAAAAATGGGGAAATGGGGATTTACTGGGAAAAACAACCCCAAAAATGGGGATTAAGTAGTGAAAATGGGGATTTACTGGGGAAAACAAAAAAAAAAGGTGATTTACTGGGGAAATGGGGAAAATGGGGATTGACTGGGAAAAAGAATAAAAAATAATGGGGATTTCCTGGGGAAAACAGAAGAGGCGGCATACGGGAACATCAAAAGTGCCATCAAACCCGTGCTCGTGTGAGAAAAATGGGAAAAATAAATGGGGAAATGGGGAAATAGGAATATGGGGATTTACCGGGGAAAAATGGGAAATAGGGAAATGGGGAAAATGGGATTTACTGAGGAAAATGGGGATTTACTGAGGAAAACGGGGATTTAGTGGGGAAAATGGAAAAAAAAAGGGTTTTAGTGGGGAAAAACAAAAAAAATAATGCAGATTTACTGGGAAAAAACAAAAAATAATGGGGATTGACAGGGAAAAACAAAAAAAAATGTGGATTTACTGGGAAAAAATGGGAATTTACTGGGAAAAACAAAAAATATAACAGGGATTGACTGGGAAAAATGGGAAAACAATGGGGATTTACTGGGAAAAATGGAAAATGGGGATTTACTGGGAAAAACAAAAAGAAAAGGGGGATTTACTGGAAAAACAGAAAAAAGGGGGGATTTACTGGGAAAAATGGGGATTTACTGGGCAAAATGGAAAAATGGGAATTTCCTGGAAAAAAATGGGAATTTCCTGGGGAAAAAAACAAAAAAAAAACCCTGTATTTTCCCTCAAATTTGCTGTTTTCCCTTGAATTCCCCATTTTCCCTATAATCCCCCAATTTCCCTCTAATTCCCTGTTTTTCCTAGAATTCCGTTTTTTTCCCAGAATTGCCCATTTTTCCCGTTTTTCCCTCTTTTCAGCCACCTGGACAATCACTCTCTGTGGGAGCCCAAGGTTTTCGCCACGGGATGTTTCCGGATCATCATGTACTCCATCCAGGTGGGAAAAAACGCCTGGAATTCCGGGAAAACCCGCAATTAATGGGAATTCCGTGTTTTACCTCAAATTCCGTTTCCCCTCAAAATCCATATTTTTCCTTGAATTCCATATTTGCTCCGGAATTCCCCATTTTCCCTTTAAATTCATGTTTTTCCTTTAATTTTGTTTTCCCACTGATTCCCCATTTTCCCTTTAATTCCTATTTCCTCTTGAATTTCCATTTCCCTTGAATTCCATTTTCCTTTAAATTCCATGTTTTCCCTCAAATTCCTGATTTTCCCTCGAATTCCCCATTTTCCCCTCAAATTCCATTTCCTTTTAATCCCATCTTTCCCAATAATTCCCCATTTCCTCTCTAATTCCATATTTTCCCTGGAATTCCCTGTTTTCCCTCGAATTCTGTATTTTCCCTCGAATTCCCAATTTTCCCTTCAAATTCCCCATTTTCCCTCAAATTCCATATTTTCCTTGAATTCCATATTTTCCCTCGAATTCCATTTTTCCTTTGATTCCATATTTTCCCGATAATTTCCCATTTTCCCTTTAATTCCTATTGCCCCTCTAATTCCGTTTTCTCTTTAATTCCATATTTTCCCTGGAATTCCCCGTTTTCCTTCTAATTCTGTATTTTCCCTTGAATTCCACATTTTCCCTCAAATTCCATATTTTCCCCAGAATTCCCCATTTTCCTTCTAATTCCATATTTTCCCTCAAATTCCCAGTTTTCCTTCTAATTCCCCATTTCCCCCTCAAATTCCCAATTTTCCTTCTCATTTCCCATTTTCCTTCTAATTCCTCATTTTCCCTCAAATTCCCCATTTTCCCAGAATTCCGTGTTTTCCCTGGATTCCCATTGGCATGGCCGGATCCCGTCCGGTCGTTCCAAGGGATCCCGGAATCCCTGGAATGCTCTAAAAATGAGGGATTGTGTTTCCCATCCCATAAACTCCCCAAATTCAGGATTTGGGACAATCCTAATTTTTCCAATCCCTTAAATCCCCCAAATCCCAGATTCAGGACAATCCCGTTATTCCAATCCCATAAATTCCCCAAAATCCTGGATTTGGGACAATCCTATTATTTCAGTCTTGTTATCCCAATCCCATAAATTCCCCAAATCCCAGATTCAGGACAATCCTGTTATTCCAATCCCATAAATCCCGGAAATCCCGGATTTAGGATAACCCCATTATCCCAATCCCATTTCCAATCCCGTTATCCCATAATGCGGTTTTTGGGGTGATTCCCATTTTTTGGGGGGATAATTCCCATTTTTTTGGGATAATTCCCGTTTTTTTGGGATAATTCCCGTTTTTTTCCAGCCCCAGCACTCCCACCTGGTGATCCAGCAGCTCCTGGGACAATCCCGTTATCCCAATCCCATTATCCCAATCCCATTATCCCAATCCTGTTATCCTATCCCATTATCCCATAATGGGATTTTTGGGATAATTCCCATTGTTTTGGGATAATTCCAGGTTTTTTTTGGGATAATTCCCATTTTTTTGGGGATAATTCCCATTTTTTTCCAGCCCCAGCACTCCCACCTGGTGATCCAGCAGCTCCTGGGACAATCCCAGTATCCCAATCCTGTTATCCCAATCCCATTGTCCAATCCCATTATCCAATCCCGTTATCCAATCCCATTATCCCAATTCTGTTATCCCATAATGGGGTTTTTGGGGTGATTCCCAGTTTTTTTGGGATAATTCCCATTTTTTGGGATCATTCCTGTTTTTTTGGGATAATTCCCGGTTTTTTTGGATAATTCCCATTTTATTCAGCCCCAGCACTCTCACCTGGTGATCCAGCAGCTCCTGGGACAATCCCGTTATCCAATCCCGTTATCCCATAATGGGGTTTTTGGGATAATTCCCATTTTTTTTTGATAATTCCCATTTTTTCAGCCCCAGCACTCCCACCTGGTGATCCAGCAGCTCCTGGGACAATCCCGTTATCCCAATCCCGTTATCCTATCCCATTATCCCATAATGGGGTTTTTGGGATAACTCCCAGTTTTTTGGGATAATTCCCGTTTTTTGGGATAATTCCCATTTTTTCCAGCCCCAGCACTCGCACCTGGTGATCCAGCAGCTCCTGGGACAATCCCATTATCCCAATCCCGTTATCCCAATCCCATTATCCATATCCCATTATCCATATCCCATTATCCTGTTATCCCAATCCCATAATTCCCAATTTTTTTTGATAATTCCCATTTTTTTGGGATACTTCCCGTTTTTTTCCAGCCCCAGCACTCTCACATGGTGATCCAGCAGCTCCTGGGACAATCCCATTATCCCAATCCCATTATCCCATAATGGGGTTTTTGGGGTGATTCCCGGTGTTTTTGGGGGATAATTCCCAATTTTTGGGGGATAATTCCCATTTTTTTGGGATAATTCCCATTTTTTTGGGATAATTCCCATTTTTTCCAGCCCCAGCACTCCCACCTGGTGATCCAGCAGCTCCTGGGCCATCTGGACGCCAACGGGCGCAGATCCCAGATTGGGGACAATCCCATTATCAATCCCATTATCCCAATCCTGTTATCCCGTTATCCCATTATCCTATCCCGTTATCCCATAATGGGGATTTTGGGATAATTCCCATTTTTTTGGGATAATTCCCGTTTTTTCCAGCCCCAGCACTCCCACCTGGTGATCCAGCAGCTCCTGGGACAATCCCATTATCCCAATCCCGTTATCCTAGCCCATTATCCCATAATGCGGTTTTTGGGATAATTCCCGTTGTTTTGGGATAATTCCAGTTTTTTTGGGCTAATTCCCATTTTTTTGGATAATTCCCATTTTTTGGGGATAATTCCCGTTGTTTTCCAGCCCCAGCACTCGCACCTGGTGATCCAGCAGCTCCTGGGACATCTGGACGCCAACGGGCGCAGCTCGGCCGCCGTCCGCGCCGGCATCGTCCAGGTGCTCTCCGAGGCCGCTGTCATCGCCGCCTCCGGATCCGTGGGTGAGCCGGAATCCCGGAATTCCAGGAATGAGGGACCAGGGGGGTCGGGATGGGATCTGGGATTTCGGGAATTCTGGGAATGAGGGAGGAGGGGGGTCGGGAGGGAATTTGGGATTTTGGGAATTCTGGGGAATGAAGGAGGAGGGATTTGGGAAGGGATCTGGGATTGTGGGATTTACTGGGAAGGGATGTGGAATTCTGGGAATTCCTGGGAATGAGGGAGGAGGGGGTCGGGATGGGATCTTGGATTTCGGGAATTTCTGGGAATGAGGGAGGAGGGGATCGGGAGGGGATCTGGGATTTTGGGAATTCCGGGAATGAGGGAGGAGGTGGTCGGGAGGGGGTCTGGGATTGTGGGATTTACTGTGGGAATGAGGGAGGAGGAGTTTGAGAAGGGCTCTGGAATTCTGGGATTCCCTGGGAATTTGGGAGGAGGAACCCGGAGGAATTGAGGGAAGGGCTCTGGAATTCCCAAAATTCCCAAAATCCCCGCAATCCCCTCAATCCCTCATTCCCTCAATCCCCTCGATCCCCAAATCCCACAATCCCCTCAATACCCAAATCCCAAAATCCCCTCAATCCCAAAATCCCCCAAATCCCTCAATCCCTCATTCCCTTGGTCCCCTCAATCCCCAAATTCCAAAATCCTTGAAATTCCTGCAATCCCAAAAATCCCCAAATCCCAAAATCCTTGAAATTCCCAAAATCCCACAATCCCCTCAATCCCCAAATGCTAAAATCCCCTCAATCCTTCATCCCCTCAATCCCCTCAATCCCCCAAATCCCTGAACCCCTCAATGCCACAATCCCCGCAATCCCTGAAATCCGTAAATCCCCAAATCCCCAAAATTTCTGAAATCCTGCAATTCCCGCAATTTCCGTAATCCCCAGATCCAAAAATTACCGCAATCCCCTCAATCCCCTCATTCCCTCAATCCCCAAATCCCGCAATCCGCTCCATCGCCTCAATCCGCTCCATCGCCTCAATCCGCTCAATCCCCTCAATCCCCTCAAATCCCAAATCCCAAAATCTCCAAAATTCCAGCAATCCCCTCAATCCCTCATGCCCTCAATCCCCAAATCCCAAAATCCCCTCAATCCCCCAAATCCCCTCAATCACTCATTCCCTCGATCCCCTCAATCCTGAAATCCCAAAATCCCTCAATCCCCTCAATCCCTCAAGCCCCTTGATTGATCCCCAAATCCCAAAATCCCGGAATCCCCACAGTCCCTCAATCCCTGAAATTGCCGAACTCCCGGAATTCCCAAAATCCCCTCAATCCCCTCAATCCCTCAATCCCTCAATGCCTTTAATCACCTCAATCCCTCAATCCTCCAAATCCCAAAATCCTTGAAATTCCCAAAATTCTGCAATCCCTTCAATCCCTCAATCCCTCATTCCCTCAATCCCCAAATCCCAAAACCCGTCAATTCCTCATTCCCTCAATCCCCTCAATCCCCCAAATCCCAAAATCCCCAAATCCCCTCAATCCTCTCAATCCCCTCAACCCCCAAATCCCAAAATTCCCACAATCCCCTCAATCCCAGCAATCCTAGCATTCCTTGCAATTCCCAAAATCCCGCAATCCCACAATCCCTCAATCCCTGAAATTCCGAAATCCCAAAATCTCCTCAATCCCCGCAATCCCCTCAATCCCCTCAATCCCTTTGATTGATCCCCAAATCCCGCAATCCCTCAGTCCCTGAAATTCCCGAACTCCCGTAATTCCCAAAATCCCCTCAATCCCCTCATTCCCTCAATTCCCAAATCCCCTCAATCCCCTCAATTCCCTCCATCCCCTCAATCCCCTCAAATCCCAAATCCCAAAATCTCCCAAATTCCCTCAATCCCCAAATCCCAAAATCCCCTCAATCCCCTCAATCCCCTCAAATCCCAAAATCTCCAAAATTCCCTCAATCCCCTCAATCCCAGCAATCCCAGCAATTGCAATTCCTTGCAATTCCCAAAATCCCACAATCCCTCAATCCCTGAAATTCTGAAATCCCAAAATCCCAAAATCTCCAAAATTCCCTCAATCCCCAAATCCTAAAATCCCCTCAATCCCCTCAAAGCTCCACAATCCCCTCAATCCCCAAATCCCCTCAGTCCCCAAATCCCAAAATCCCCAAATCCCCAAATCCCCTCAATCCCCAAATCCCGTCAGTCCCCAAATCCCAAAATCCCCTCAATCCCTGAATCCCCGCAATCCCCTCAATCCCTCAATCCCCTCAATCCCTGAAATCCCAGCAATCCTAGCATTCCTTGCAATTCCCAAAATCCTGCAATCCCTCAATCCCTCAATCCCTGATATTCCCAAACTCCCGGAATTCCCAAAATCCCTCAATCCTGCAATCCCCTCCATCCCCTCAATCCCTCAATTCCCTCAATCCCTCAATCCCCGCAATCCCCTCAATCGCTCATTCCCTCAATCCCTGATATTCCCGAACTCCCGGAATTCCTGAAATCCCAAAATCCCCACATTCCCGTTTTCCCAGGCCCCACGGTTCTGGAGGTGTTCAACACTCTGCTGCGGCAGCTGCGCCTCAGCATCGACCGCGGGCGGGAGCGCGACGAGAGCGCCTTCCAGGAGGCCGTCATCAAAACCATCGGTCTGTGGGGTTTT